TTTTTGCCCTCCCTGGGCTCCGGAGGCTTTCCTCAAGCCTCTGGGTGGGCAAAAATAGCCTCCCTGGGCTCCAGAGGCTCTCTGGAAGCCAGAAACAGGCCCATTTCCATCCTTCCCAAACTTCCGGGAGGCCTGTTTTTGCCCTCACAAAACCTCCGCGCACACCCTGCACTTACCTGCATCCAAAATGGGCCATGTGGGGACTCCTGGGAGGGGTGGGGTGGGCATGGCCATCCAGGAGTGGGATTTGGGGGTTCTCCAAACTGCACAGAATCTTAGCTAGGGGCTCTCCCAAATCCCTGTGTACCCCCAGCAGCAGAACTCCTGGACACGCCCCTACAGTCTACTCTAGGTTGCTACGGGTCACATAAGGCCCTTGTGAGCTTGAATTCTGAATCAGTTTTGAGCTGGAAGGGACCTTGGAGGTCTTCTAGCCCAGCCCCCTGCTCAAGCAGGAGATCCTATACAATGTTAGCTGCTTTGGAGAGTGCTCTTGCACAACCTCTGCCGCCTCTGAAAACTGCACAAAAGCATGCCCCGTTCTTGCCCCATTTCCAGAAAGTCCATGGAACACAACCCATCCTCACACATCCTTCGCAGCCCCCAAGCACTGCATGAGAACAGGGAGTGCTTTTGAGAATACAGGTCGTGGTGGACTTATGAACACAGTGGAACCCAAAAATGTATGTGGCTGAGTGAGGCACCTGTTTCGTGAGTTTTGCCCCATTTTACGACTCTTCTTGTCCCACTTGTTGAGTTAATAACCTGGTTGTTAAGTGAATCTGGCTTCTCCATTGCCTTTGCTTGTCAGAAAATGCCAAAAGGTGATCACATGTCCTTGCAACACTGCAACCGTCATAAATATGGATCAGTTTCCAAGCATCTGGATTTTAATCATGAGACCATGGAGATGCTGCAACAGTTGTGAGGAAAATGGCCACAATTCACTTTTTTCAGTGCCGTTGTAACTTCGAACCATCACTAAATGTTATAAGTCAAGGACTATCTGTAAGGTTCTTGTCTGGCAGTGGGAAAAAGAGGCACTGATTTGAAATCCCACCCAAATATTTCTAATATTATTCTGGTCACTGTTGTTCAGCTAGAGTAATGAATATATCAGTTATGATTCAGCCTACTTTCTCATTTCTCCAAGGCAAACCAAGGTTTACAACATTTTGGTCTTCTAAATTCCTGAAAAAATTAATATGAATTTCTGTTAAAGCATATTGTAGGTATGCATTTCCCCCCACCAATTTTCCCTGACATATTTTTGAAAACTTTCCCCCATTTCTGGGTAGGTTCTTTCCATGTGTGCTTTTTTAAACTGGCACATTGCAGTAACAAAATCAGGAAAACATCGATTTCAAAGGGCAACTGTGTTTCAGTTTATGCATGGAATTAAGATGTATATATTAAATCAAATGGCACTCATAGATGAGCTGAATGAGTTTTTCCACATCTGTACTGTCCACACTGTGCTGTTTACAAAGTGGATTGACAGTCTTTTCTTTCAAAATTAGCTTTCGAAGCATTTCTCCATATGTGGACTGTCAAAATATTACATGGGAACAAAGATTTAACCATTTAGTGGTTGTCTGGAATTTGCAGCCTTAAATATGGTGCCTCTACTGTTGCAGGAAGCAAGTGTTCGGTAGGGGGGGTAGGGTCCAAAGTGGATCTCTCCATTCATCATCCCTTCCCCTTTTTGTCTCTTCTCTTCTCTTCTCTTCTCTTCTCTTCTCTTCTCTTCTCTTCTCTTCTCTTCTCTTCTCTTCTCT